GCGACGGAGGCCCCGCCCCGGACACGCCCCCTCCTTCCCGGTCCCAGGACGCGTTGCGCGGCCCGGGCCGGAAGTCGCGAGTGCCCGGGCGAGAGTCCGGGTCTGCGTCTCCCAGCCGCGCGGCCGCGTCCACCGCCGGGGGTCTCCGTGGGAGGCGTCACTGCTGTCACGACCGTCACCTCACGGAGCCGCTTCTAGACAAGAGCAGGCCCGGCCCTTAGCCGGGCGAAGATGTTGCCCCTGTCCATCAAGGACGATGAATACAAACCGCCCAAGTTCAATCTGTTGGGCAAGATCTCGGGCTGGTTTAGGTGCGGCGCTGCCTGCGGGAGGGCGTCGGGCCGCGGGGGAGCCCGCGCGGGGAGGGGGGCGCGCCCTGCGTCCTGCCGAGGGCGGCGGGGTCCCGCGCGCCGTTCGCGCTCCTCCACGCTCGTGTCGTTTCCAGGTCCATCCTGTCGGACAAGACGTCTCGGAACCTGTTTCTCTTCCTGTGCCTGAACCTGTCCTTCGCTTTCGTGGAACTCCTCTACGGCATCTGGAGCAACTGGTAACGAAGGGGACAGGGGCCGGGGCGGAAGCGGGAGCGGGACGGACCCAGCCCTGTTTGCCTAGCGCCACGTAGCTCCTTACCGGGACGTCAGGTCGCACCTTGGCGGCCACCGCCGTGCCGGACTGGCGGGCCCGCGCGGGGTCCGGGCCCGCCGCGTGCGTGCGCTTCTCCCCCAGCCCCTGCGGGTCGCAGCGGCAGCCCCCTCCTCACGCTTGGACATGCGGAGCCTCGGTCTCCGAGCCCCGCACGCCCTTAGCTTTGCCCACCGGAAACGGGCAGGAACCTGTTCCCTGGCGCTGGGGGGAGTGGCATTTGGATTTCACCCTTAAGAGCCGAAAGGGGGTAGCTCAGGTGTTCTGCTTCATTGATTAGGTCTTTGAATGACCTTTGAAAAGATTTGTAATGCGGTGTCCGGGAAAATGTATATCATTATCTCTCTTTTTGTGTGCTGGGAATTGAACTCAGGACCTTGTGCTTACCAGCCAGGCGCTTGTGCCGCTGAGCTATATCCCCGGCCCTCTATCATTCTCTTTTTAATGCTGAAATTTTACGGTTTTCCTCTGGTTTTGACTACAGTAGAAAATTGTATATAGATTTCCAAAACATCTAGAAACATTCCTTGGCGTGATGGATTTTAGTATTGCCTTTGTTTTTGTTGTTATTGCTGTTTGTATTTGGAAACGGCTTTGGGAGGAGAAAATGTACTCTATGGAAATGAAATTAGTATTATTCAGGTATTTGCTGTTGAATATCTTGAGGTCCCATGAAATTGTTCTGTTGAGAGTAAAGTCATCACTTCTAAGTGTGCTAACTGCATTTTTAGAATATAAACCCACTTAAGAACCTGATGAAAGTCAACACTCAGAATTTTAGGTAAAGCTTCAGGGTGTTCACAGGTTCCCTGAAATAGATATTGGACCCTAGACCAAGAAGCGGTGCCATTTATGCTTTATTTCTATTAATTAAGTCGTCTGTCCTTTAAAGTCAGTTTACAGAAAGAATTACTATTTGATCTTTATCTCTGTTGAAATTAATAATGGCATTAGCTGCTGTCGCCAGGTTTGTGATATATGTACCGTTAATGTGAAAAATTGGGCTTACAAATTCAGCTGTTGGGCCGGGGATGTAGCTAGCTCAGCAGCACAGCACCTGCCTGGCAAGTACGAGGTCGCAGAGTTTGATTCCTGGTACCAAAAAAAGAAAATTCAACTGTTATTTTATCAAATACTCAGTAAGCAACATATTAAAAAGGTTATTGGTTTATTCACTACTGACAGGCATATTTACACAATTAAATCTTGATATATTTAGTAACTGTTGACTCTCCTGGTATGTGTGTGTGTGCACATTTGTATGTTAAGGATACTCCATCACAGATTATTTTTTAACTCCATAAAGTTAACATTCTTGATGTATTACACATGTTGAAAGCAACATATTCTTAACTTGTGTTTGAATAGCTGTAGTTTAATCATGAGTATATAGTATTTTGTGTTTTTCTCTTTCTACATTATGCCATAATTTTGGCATACGTGCTCATGGTGGTTTGCATATGCGCATTTTGCCACAGTTACTTTATATTGCAGTGCCTTTATATTTCACTGTGGCCCTTGTACAAATCACTTCATGAAATCTCATTTTCAAGGGATTCATATCTGAAGTGCTTAAATCATATCTTTCATGGAATATTAAGTGTATAGTGACTTTTTTGGTATGTAGAGATCAATTAAGGAAAATGCTAAGGCCCTTATTTTCTCAGCCATTTGTCAGTGTACATCAAAGCATAAGGAAAGCATTGCAGGTAGGTGACGTGATGTGCTCTTAGTTAATTTGCTCTTCTGCTCTGGATCTTGTTCTGCTCCCCTTAGCCCGCTTGTTCCGTACCCTTCTAGTTTATTCTTCCATTGTGTTGTTATCTCCTCCAGACTTGAAGTGTAGCTTTAGTGTCTTGTTGTGTACCTCCGTCATTTAGCATGTATTTATTTTCTTTTGACCACGTATAATAACTTCTACATCTGCAATCGCTTACTCCTCAATATTATTTTTTATTAGTGGCTATGAAGTATAAACTTTCTCGTTGATGTTTGAGCATATTTAGAAATTACTCTGGCCTTTCCCTAATCTTCCTTCCTATGTTTTATTTAGACATGAAAATTTTTAGTTTTGTTGACTGATCAATAAGATCTTAGTTTGACTAGATTATATGCTTATGGATCCAGTTAGCTTTTAAGTTCCTTTAAGTTCCTTTATAAATTTCTCACCAAAACCCACTTTGGTTTTCATAGTCATTTCTCTGTTCAACTTTAGTGTATAAAAATAAATTTCAAGTTGTTGAGAACACAAAGTATCAAAATTTTTCTGATGGGGATTAAACATGAATAAAACACTTTTCACTAATAATGGTTCATAGAAACAGTTGATACGGTTGCAGTTTTTCTCCTTTTTGTTCGGTGCCTTAATTTTAACGGAAGCACTTAATTACAGTTGATTTACATTCTTGATGGTGGGATGGTATCTTCAGTGGAAGAATAGCTAAGTTGTTTAGATGTTTTTCCTTCAGAAAATATCTATTTCCTTTCATCTTTCAGCTTGAATGTAAGCTTTGTTCAAGTAGGAATCTTTTTCTGTCGTATATAGGCACCTTTGTACACCATGTAGGAGGTGCTTAACACTTATTAGCTGAATTAAAGATTGAGGGAGGAATGAACTTATGAAATGTATCCATACTAAACATGCCTGCTACCTCATTAAGGGGAAAAAGTGCAAATATTAAACTTTATTCCTAGGGAGAAAATGGTAGGAACGTTACATGTGTTTTTTTCTTTCCTTCCACTGTTTCATTCCAATATTATTTCAGTCACTTATTTATTGTTGAATAACTGTCCAGTCACAAGGTAATAGAAGAGTGTAGTTTTGAATCATTGGGGACTGTTTAGTTTCAATATACAGGGAAAGTCCAAAATTTTGATTATTTCATATTCAAAATGGCTGACAAAGTTCCAGCCATTCCTACAGTGCAGAGAAAAAGAGGCAAAGGGTATGGACATTGTCTTTCAAGGAGATTTATCTGGATTTTATTTTTTATTTTTTATTTTTTCTGGTACCAGGAATCGAACTCACGACCTCGCGCTTGCCAGGCAGGCGCTGTGCTGCTGAGCTAACTCCCCAGCCCCTATCTGGATGTTAACAACACTTTCACTACAGTTTCAATCACATGATCATGCCTAGTTGCATGTGTGGTCTATTCCTGTCAAACATGTAGTCTGCTAAAAATCAAGGATTTTTTATTTAAGAAAGGAAGGAAATATGTGGATACCATAGGTTCTGGAGGTAGAACTGGAGGAAGAGATAAATCTACCCTCTTCTGTAGGTGGAAAATGGAAGCCTATAGTTTCGTATTTTCTGAACTAGCAGCAAAGGCATTAGTAACTGTTATCTATATTTTTTGTAGTAACATTATAACCTTTTTTCTAATACCTTAATATAGTTTTCTTTTTCTTATTCTTTTGTTTTATTTTACTTTTCCATCCACTGAAAAAATTTAATGTCAGTTGCATTGTTTACCAGAGTTGTTGGAACCATTTTCCCTTAGGTAGAGAAGAACCTCAAAAGGTGCATTTCTTTGTATTAACAAAGAAAATGTTTGTTCAAGAAGTGTTTAAGGCAATACTGGCCATTTGTTTGGTCCTACTTCTAGGTAATATGTCATTGTAATATGCTTACAAGTCCTTGGTAAAGAAAAATGCTTCCATTTAGTGCACATTTTTCTATTAGGTTGAAATTGTTAGGTAGTTTGGTCTTTCATGAACTTTCTCTTTACAAAAGACAGTGTTACTTACTGGGTATGTTGATGGCTTTTACTTTCCTGTAGTCTTTATTTTTTTACCCTACAGACTTAGGTATTTCATTTGCTGAGTAATTTTTTAGTAAGGGGTTATATAATGGAGAGGAATTACTTCACTGCAGCTCATTAGTTTATGAATGTTACTACTGTTAAGATTCTAAGGATTTTCTAGTTTCTTGATAATAAACTGGTAATGTATTTTCCCCATCTACCATGTGGAATCAGCTAATAAGTGGTTTGTAAATTATGATGATCTTTTCTATTTAATTGACATTTAACAGCCAAAATGGGTATATAATTAGCTTAGTTACAAATAGTCCTTTTTAAAAAAAAACTTTTTATCATGCAAATTACTTTTGGGTGGCAGAGGGACAGGGTCTTGCTCTGTAGGCCAGGCTGGCCTGGAACTTACTGTGACCCTTCTGCCTCAGCTTCCTGAGTGCTGGGATTACAGGTGTGTGCCACCATACCAGCTTCCATGTAAAATTTTAAATATATGTAAGAGTAAATAATTTAATGGACTGCATGTATTTATTACCTGGTTTAACCTTTAGCAAGACATGGCCTATTTCACTGTATTTGTTATCCTTGTCCCACTATTGGATTTGTTAAAACAGATGAAAGTTATCACCGTTTCTGTAACTACCTGGCATGGTGGCATATGCTTCTTCTAATCCCAGCACTCTGGGAAGCTAAGGCAGGATGATCACAAGTTTGAGCCCGGTTTGGGCAACTTAATGACTTAGTAAAAACTGTTCTGGACATAAAATGAAAAGTCTGGGGATGTCACTCAATACAAAGAACCTGGGTTCAATCTCTAATACTGCCAAAACAATTAAAAAAAAAATTTTCATAAGTACTGAGATAATTCTCAAAAAGGTAAAAGCTTCCCCTTTTATTAACATAACCCCAAAGCCATTATCACCCATAAAAATTAATGATTCATTAATATCCAATGTCTACTCAGTAAGTGTTTATATGTCCTCCATTGGTTTTTGTTTCTTTGTTTGCTTTGGGGTTTTTTTTTTCCCCTCCATTGTTTTTTTTAAATTCTTTTTACATTTGGTTTTACGGATGAGAATTCAAACAAGATTCATGCGCAGTGTTTGGTTGATATGTCAAAATCATACAGATCTCTCATAATTTATAGGTC